CTGATCATGAGAGTGCATGTTACAGCTTTCAGAGCTGGGTTCATGTTTGGCTGGAAACAGTAAAAATCTCACTTAATGGATAATGATATTCCAAGGTGACCTGAAAAACCTTTAAAATAGATAAACAAAGATGCCAATCCTCAACGGAATACAGGTGTAGATTTAAACACTGCGCCATTTACATCCTTAGCCAGTGTAAATCTGTGTAGCGCCAAAGAGGATCGGGATCATAATTTCCTCTACCTCCAACATTTGCTATGCTGATAGTCCAGAGAGCTATGCTACAGTTGTCCTTAGTATCTCCTACTGAACATCAGGAATGCAGCACTCTGCTCTGTTAGGTATTACTCATGTTGGCCATTGCTACAGAAGAAACACTGACATTGCAGCCTGACAGATTTAATAAACCATTCAGTTAATGGCTAACAATTGTGCAAGATTGTCATGTCTTATTTTCCACTTATGTTGTCTATTTTTAACCAACCTTTTTTAACCAACCCCTTCCCTTTGTCTTTACTCTGACAACTAATGTGCAAGGGTAAGTTAAGGAATCTATTAAAAAGGTTAAAATTTGAAACAAGTTACCCTCAAAGACTGGAACCACCAATGGGATAAGCCACCAGCAGGAGAGTCATGCATGGTGGTTGTGGTGGGGAGTGAAGAGAAGGCAATGACTGGGCAGCATGCCCAAGAGAAAAAGAGCACCGAGTGGCTGGGCAGCATTTCCAGAGATGCACGTGTAAGTTGGAGGAGGCAGAGAGAGGACCAAGCCATGGGGAAGCATGTGCAGAGAGGGGATCTAGGTGGCAGTGAAATGTGCATGGGAGCCGCAGATGTAAAGATGCAGTGAAATGAACAGACTTTCTTCCAGCGGAATGTCATCCATCACATTATGAAGCAAAAGATAAATAAATGCTTTTTTAATGATATTTTTCCATGTGCGCAATTGCTGCAGTTGCCACTGGGAAACTGTGCAATTGCAAAAGGGAGGACAGATGAGTCCATCAGACAATCTCTATTAAGATATGATCAATGTTATAGGAAAAGCCTGAATACCCCTGAAATGTAGCAAAGAAGATTTTTTGAGATTACCTTATGCACTATAACCTTTTGATCAAGAAAAGCACTAGTAAATAATATGGGCTGAAAAATGTGGTTTGCAACATTGTAAGTACTTGACAAGGTAGTCTGAGAAAACAGTTCACTAGTAAAAACTGGAGATAGTGTGATAACTAACAGGTCACAATAGCCCACAGTTATCTTTAGCCCTTCTTTGCTGGCTTCTGGTGCAGCCTTCATTCAGTGGTAAAATTGATACATGGTGGTATTTGATACATGGGGGAGCACTGGGAGAGTTTTTGTCTAATGTATCAGGGGTATTCAGTCACAGCTGAGTGGTTAACATGCCTCTTGTTCTTTTGTTAAGATAGTACCCTCCCTATAATTGTTTTCTCAAGCTCAGGTGGGGCACTCAGGATCTAGATTCTATTTCCAGTACTGAACACTCAGAACTAAATGTTCAGGTCCAGCTGAACTGTGCTTGACACGTAAGCTGGGAGTGTGGGTATGTTTCTCAACTCCATAGCCCTGCCCCAAGTTATAGCTGCCTCAGGGCCACAGTAATTTACATCCCAGCCATTTACAATGGCTCCAAAACCATTCTAGCTGCGGGGGATCACTGAGGAACACACTCTATTGGGAACTGGGAGGAGGGGGCAGGATGTAAAGCAAGAATGGTTCTATGCCACCTTGAGATTCCACTTACGCAAAGGGAATCATCAGAGCTGAATTCACTAGCTTTCCAGCTGCTCTGTCCTGCCAAAGAAGCACAAAGGAGCCATAATGGGGCCAAGGATCTATCCTTTAAAATTTACTTTTCAAAAAGTAAATGCAGGTGTATAATTAAAGTAGTCAATAGCCCAAACAATTTAAGTTCTAAATATCCCATCCAAAACTGCCTTGAAAGAGAAACATATGATAATATTTAATGTGAAACATGTTCAGAATCAATATAACCTCTGTTAGTTTCAGATTTTCCAGCCTATCTCTAGTAAATATCTACTTTATTGTGACAATAGTAGCACCTTAAATCAACTTACTTTAGAATGCAGTTATTAAACTCAACTCACAATTCTGAGATCCCTACTTCTTTTTCAACCCCTCCCTTGAAAATCAACATTACATTAGAAAACAGCACCAGGCTGAACTGAAAAGCAGAGCATAATGCAGCAAATACTGAGCCATTAAATACCAATTGGAGAGAAAATATAATACACCCTGTGCAATTCAGCTGTTGCTAAATGCTGGTCTGCACATTAGCACCAAATTAGTATCATTTGGATGTGACATGCATGTGGAATAACAATAACAAATATAATGCCAGTGGTAATAAAGAAAAGTAAACTGCACAGTGTTCTTTCATTCTAATATACCATATGTTGTGGTATTACAATTTCACAGAAGTGTAAGGGCAGAGTTATTTCTAAATTTCTTAAAAATCCATTTAATATTGTTTCCTATAAAGTGCAGTCTGAAATATAGTATGTGTTTGTAGAATAGAAATGAGTATAAAAATGATTCTTATTACTACTTAAAACCAAGATGGGTGAAAAATGTTCAAAGAAGTAAACATATCTGCTGAATCTGAATGTCAATTATACTACTAAAGTCCCTGTCTGAAACCAGAAAAATTTGATTTAAGGGTTTGTGGCCACTTTATAGCATGTGTGACAGACCCAGACCAGTGGAGTACAGGAGTCTGGTAGAGGGCAAATATACTGGTCATTGGATGAGTAGTTTTCTGTTCCCTGAGTGACCAGAGCAGGGGCTGCACTAGAGTAATCAGGAACCTGCTAGAACCAGTGAAGGCAGGCAGGCTAATTAGGACACCTGGAGCCAATTAAGAAGAAGCTGCTAGAATCAATTAAGGCAGGCTGAGGAGCTTGAAGTAGTTTAAACATTCATTAAGGCTTCACAATCCCGCGTGTGTGGTAGGTAATATCCCTATTTTACAGACTGATAAATTGAGACTCAAAGGTTAAGGGACTTGCCAAAGCTCACAAGGGAACACAGTGACAGATCCAGGATGTAAGAATTCTGATTACTCGTCACATGTACTAACCACTAGATCAATAGCTGTTGTCACTATTAACAAGCTATTGTAAGCTATTGTACTTCAGTTTTTACAGTATTGGCATAATTCATTCTGTTTCAAGCATAATTTATTATGGGTTTCCTGTCATGTTGACAGTGCTGTGGAACAATTCAATTAAAGAGCACATGAAAGCACTAAGAATCTTCTGTCAGGTGTGAGATCTGCCACTCTTTTGTTGTATAACAACATTAGAAATGCATGTTGCTAGTGGCACTCCACAGGACATTTCACATATTGCCATGTTTTCTACAATGCAGAATAAGGTAATCTTAAAACAGGGCAACTATTAAAAGATTTAAAGAAAATACATAATGTGCATCGCATACTAGCAGATGGCACCTTTGAGACTAACAGAAGTATTGGGAGCATAAGCTTTCGTGGGCAAATATCTCACTTCTTGCCTGTGAAGAAGTGAGGTTCTTACCCACGAAAGCTTATGCTCCCAATACTTCTGTTAGTCTCAAAGGTGCCACAGGCCCCTCTGTTGCT